GGTTAGCACAACTCGGCACAGCTGCAAACTAGGTCACTTCGAAATAGCTGCAAACTAAGTAAAGCTAGTGCCAGCAAGCGGCTATAACTGAGTGAAAAAAAGCAAAAGATAATGACTCGGTGATGTGGGTGAAACAGTACGCAACCATTTGTGACAAAAGGCTACTGCACAGGAAGCTGCTGCTGACTGGTCACAGGTCATTCCCAGATTCATTGCTGCAAACGTACTGTCCATAGACAGGAGTTCACATCTTAAGCAGTATAGAATTATGACAAGTATTCTATGAAAGTTTGAGCTACTCGTCCCGCAGCTGAAAGATTTCGTTCATCACGTGGATGAGACTACTTCTCGACTTCGTAATAATTCGGTGGATATTTAAAATTGGCTAGTGACAGTCAGTTTTTGCATTCATTGGATTTTATTATAAAAGAAAAAATGTAACGGATCTGGAATCGCTAAACTGCGGCAATAAAGAGCCTTAAAAGTAAGGAATTTTAAATAGCGCGATATCTCTGTGCTGCAGCTTATTATTATTACATACAAACTATTATTACTAAATGAGTTGCGAAATTTGTTGTAAAAATAAGCACACGTAGATTGAATACGTGCCGACTGGGAAGCTGTACTGATGGATCTCGCACTAAGAGCTCGATCCTTGCTTGCTGCGAAAGGATGAAACACAAACTACTTCTTCTCATGTTCATTCAGCATATGACTTGTAGTTTTCATGCCTACTTTCTAATATTCTTTCGAATTCGAGTGCTTGCGTAATGAGGTAATGGCTGTGGCAATGCTGGTAGTTGGGCTAAACCTATTTCTCTAAGAGCGAATTTTCTTGTTCAAAACTAAGTTAAATGTGAAAGATTGATCGTGCAGTTTAGTATTACTATTTTCAAACATTCTACTCAAAAAAGGCCTGGTGTGTTCAATGTATAATTTTACACTAAAGCATTCTTGCTGAAGGTATATCATCTGTTGACGGCTTTTTTGATCCTCTTGAGTAGAGAGGAGGGAGTGTCAAATGTTGGAGAAAAAGAACAACTTGCGAGAATCTGCGTTTGACCAACAGACGAATGCTTATATCTCAGCTTTGTTTTCTGGTTTTGCTTTTTAACAGTGATTGGACCTAGCGCATCATCTGGCCAGTAAGGTTAAACGAACTGTTTTAAAATGGTAGTCTTTTGATTTATCAAGTTTCACCCGTTAAATTTTTAACACTTGTCAAGCTAACCTTGCTTGCTTTCAAATCTGCCTAAGCACCATCTTCATAAATGGAGCATTACTTTGCTGATAACAGTTTTTCATTCTTTGAAAGTTTGTCTAAAGCAGCGGGGTTCCGAATTTACGAATTTGATGTTTAGTTAAAGCCGGGAGCTGTCAGCTTTACCTTCGCAGCTTCAATTTATTCGCTTTCAGCTTTACCTAAGCATCAGCTTTATCGATGGTGAGCTCCCCTACTGATGGCGGTTATTCGTTTGCTTTTTTTGCCTTTCCTACCTTCTTTGCTTTTACTTTTTTCTTGCTTCTCCTCTTTTCACCCATCACCACTCCACTCTCTTCTACATTAGCCTATGCGCGTAACCACTCAATGCGCCCTTATTTTTAACCCCCGTGCCCAGAACTTCGCTACCACCCCGTCTGTGGCACCCAGCGTCCTATGCCACAGCGGAGTAAGGACACCCGAAAAAATCGTTCGCAGGTCGTGTTATGACGCCGGTCGAGCCGTGTGCCGTCATTCTGGTCGCACATACACAATTCGTAACAGAGTGTGAATGAGTTGGATGCCCGTTTGACTTCAGGAAGAAGTACAAGGGATTATACAGTTAGTAATTACTGTTGGATACGTTCACGTCCAACTATGGAAAAGCCAGCGTTTTGTGTGAAAGGGGTAACAAAAAGTTACGGAAATACAACAGGGAGCAAGCAAAACCCCTCTGAAAAATTCAAAACTGCTATTGATTGAACTGTATGCTCGTACCTGATTGCAGATAACTAAAAAAATTAGTGGAATGACGGCTTTTGAAAACGCGCTTCCTCAGTGAATCCAGGCTGGAAAGCACCAGGCGGGCCGGTACGATTGTGCGTTTTTGCACTTTTCGTGCCGTAGCAAGATTGCAAGGAATCAAAGTAGCTAACGCTGTGAAATACTGACCCTCGAAGTTCAGGAAGTTGATTGTGCGACTCTGTGGTATATCAGTTGTAGATGTCGGCTTCAGTGACCCGACAAAAGGAAAGTTGCTGGTCCGAAAAAAAAGGCCACGCTAGAAGAGCAAAACTTAAAATTTTTTAGTCGCACATGAGCAGGGAACATATCCTTAAAATTAAAGCCTTCAGCTTTTCCCGTTCCCGAGTTAGCAGTTTTCCCATCAAAATTTTCACATGTCCATACGTGAGTACCGGACGGTTTTAAGGAGCTGAGTTTAAAATTTTTTGGTCATACATGGGTAGGGAACATAACCCTAAAGTTTCAGCTTTCTAGCTTTTTTCGTTCCTGGGTTAGTGATTTTCGCGCCAAAACTTCCACGCGCTTGTACGTGGGCTCGGGCGTTTCTAAATACCTGATTTGAGTAGGGAACATTCCCTTAAAGTTTCAGCTTTCTAGCTTTTCCCGCTCCCGGTTTAGTAGTTTTCGCGCCAAAACTTTCACATGCTCATACGTGGGCTCGAGCGCTTCTAAACACCTGATTTTGCTCGTATGTGAGTAAAAAACGTTCTCCTAAAGTTTTAACTTTGTAGCTTTTCTTGTTCCTGGATTAGTAATTTTCGCGCCAAAATTTTCACGCCCTCGTATATGGGCCGCAAGCGCTTCTAAACACCTGATTTTGCTCGTACATGAGTAGGGGGCATTTCCATAAAGTTTCAGCTTTCCAGCTTTTCCCTTTCCCGGGTTAGTAATTTCCGCGCCAAAATTTCCACGTGCCCATACTTGAGCCCCGGACGCTTCTAAACACCTAGTTTTGGTTGTACATAAGTAGAAAGCATTCCCTTAAAGTTTCAGCTTTCTAGCTTTTCCCGTTCCAGGGTTAGTGATTTTCGCGCCAAAATTTCCACGCGCTCGTAAGTGGGCTCGGGCAGTCCTGGGCAGCTGAATTTGTAAACTTTTGGTCGCGCATGAGTAGGGAACATTCCCTTAAAGTTTCAACTCTCTAGCTTT